TGGACGGACCACCGCTTCGTCACCTCTAAGACGAGGCTCTGTCTGCAACCCTGCAGGTGGCCACGTGGTAGGCGATCATCAGGTAAGTTTAACGCTGTTCTGGTGCCAGTCGTTTACATTTTAGCAATCAGTTAGCTCAGCACCTGGAAGACCTGCCATCTCCAGACACAAACACCTCGGTGGAGGACGTTCATTCGACCACCCTGTGTATCCTCGACCGCGCACGTCGCTAGCACCAGGACTGGTTCGACGACAAGGACGCAGGCACCAGTAACCTGCTGGCCGAGACGAGCAGGCTGCACAGAGCATTCCTCGACCCTCCAACCGAGGCGGCCTTCTACCCATGCCGCTGCCTTGCGTAGCAAAGATTGCGAGAACTAGGTGACGCCTGGATGGCTAGCAAGATCGAGGTGGTCCAGGGTTACGTCAGCCGTAACGAATCAAAGAACTTCTTCACTGAGATCAAGACGATCTACGGCCCCTCGGACCAAAGGAACTGAGCCACTTCTTAACTCCGACAGGTCGACGCTTCTGGCTGAGAATTTGCAACTTCTGAATTTCTGGACCAAGCACATTAGAAGTGTTCTCAACCGACGCCGCCATCGACCAGCTCCCCCAGTGGAACTCATCGTCGACCTGGATCTCCAGCCCCCCCCCCTCCCCTCTAAGAAATTATTCGTTCTGTGCAACAACCCTCCAGCGGGAATGCAAGAGGCTCCGATGTTATCCCAGCTGAAATCTACAAGCACGGCGGCTACCGACTGATGGACCAATTCACAACGCTATTTCAGGCGACGTGGCGCTCTGAAGACGTTTCTCAGGACTTCAATGACGCGACCATCGTTCACCTCTACAAGCGCAATGGGAACCGCCAACTCTGTGACAACTACAGAGGCATCTGGCTAGTCAACATTGCCGGGAAGATCTTCGTCCGCATCATCCTCAATCTTCTCAACGGATACTTGGAGAGCAAGGACTTCTGCCGTAAAGTCAATATGGCTTTCAACGACATCGGGGCACTACTAATATGGTGGTTGCCGGTCGTCAGCTGCAGGAGACGCCAACTCACATCTTCAGTACCTTCGTGGATTGGTGAAAGCCTTCAATACGATGAATAGCGAGGGACTGTGAAAACTCATGCAGAAATTCGTTTGTCCTAGACGATTCACACACATTATACGCATCACTGCACTCATCCTCAAATCACTGTCGACGGTCACCTAGGAAGTACACTTTCCAACAGCACAAGAGTCGACGAGGAAATGGTCCATCGGATCTTCAAGGCCAGCTAGGTCTCCGGTCGGCAGCAGAACTCCGTGTGGAATCGTCACAGCCTCCAACTGAATGGCAAACTGAAGAGGTACAAGGCCATCTTCCTAACGACACTTCTCTACAGAACGGAGCCTTGCACCGTCTACTCCAGCTATTTCAAGAAACTCAACCATTTCGATCTAGGCTGCCTTCACTGAATACTAAAGCTGAGAGGTCAAGACATGATCCCCTACAGGAGAGTCCTAGGACAGAAGGGAACCCTCAGGATTCCTGCTATGTTGAGGCAACTGCAACTACGTGGGAGCGGCCATATCGTGGGGTTTGAAGACACGCCTTTGTCGAAACAGCTCTTATTTGGTGATGTCGCCAGGGGTACTTGCCGACAAGGAGGAGACAATAGGGCTACAAGGACACTTTGAAGGACTCTCTGCAACGACTCCCGAGAGCCGGGAGAACCTCGCTCAGGAGGGACCGATATGTCTGAGAGGACCGGCTCACCCACCTACGGAACAAATCGGATCGCCGCCGTCAAAGCCGAACTGGAGGCTCACAATGCACAATTCCCTCGCCTCCTAAATGCCGCTTCCAACACGCCCGCACCGAAAACGCGCATTTTGCGCGCGAATCGGCCTCGAAGGACACCCTCGGACGCTATGCGCCAACATCCCAACAACGTCGACTACTCCTTCCACTCTCGCCCCCCCCCCTCCCCCGGGAACCCGCTGCTGACGGTCACCTCCGTCACCATCGCTGACGCGCCGCCACCAATCACCAACATCCTCTGCACTATCTCAACCTCTGCGTCGATCGCAGCGATTAGCTCCGCCAACATCACGACATCATGCACTCTCCCTACCGATGGGACGACGTCCGACGTCCCATAACCATCTACCACTACCACCGCCACCACCACCACCATCACCACCACCACCATCACCACCAACACCACCGTCACCATCACCATCACCATCACCATCATCATCATCATCATCACCACCACCACCACCACCACCACCACCATCACCACCACCACCACCACCACCACCACCACGATCACCAGCACCCTCAAATCTAGCAATGTGACCTCAGCCCACACCTGTCCTCATTGCGAACGCACATTCATCTCACACGTCGGTCTGGCCGGTCGCCTGCGAATTCATCGTACAGAGACGGGCGAACAATTGACTGGAGCACCAACCCACATTCGCCGTATACGCCACCACTGTCCACACTCTCCCAGCACATTCACACACAGCATGGGCCTACTGCGTCATATGCATGTCAACGTGAGCTGGATCCATCGCACTCCCGACACGACGGTTTGACCGTCGTTGCCGACGATATCGTTGTGTGCTCTACGCCAAGCTGTAGTAGGCACAGTCGCATGCACGTGCGTAAGTTCCTTGTGAGTGTGGACTTGCGCTGCATTTACCTCACTGTCCCCTCCTCCCCCACCTGGAGCCGGTGTCAAGGCATAGTCAAGAAGACCGGGGGCGGGGAGGTGGCTGACACGGCAGGACCCGCAACTAGGCGTACCACCGTATTCTCTGGTCCACAAATAACACTTGGTCAGGATTTTATCCACATATTGAGCAGCCATGCTCATGACCTGTGTACACAGCGGGAGCGCGAGCTCATCTACCAACAGGGAACCAGAGAGTTTCTAGCGCACACCAGGCTACCATGATCACGGTTTGCTAAATCATGACATAGCGGAGACTCAGAATTCTTGAAGTCCTGTCTCGACACACCTAACCCAACCGATGTCCCATCCCCAAAGTACGTAAACCGACGGCAGCGGAGACCGACGCCGTTGCTCCAGACCTATACTGCCCACAATATCCCCTTACATTCACCTCAGACATCGGCCCAATCGGTCACTAGTGAATCCATCGCACAGAGACTGGCGAACCAGTGCCTGGCGCACACACACACATACAGTAGGTGGGCTAACTCGTTAAATTTCAACCGAAATTCCGAAATGCGTTTTCGTTTCGAAAAGATTAATTAAGTGGGGTTGTAAAACCAACCACCGTGCAGAATAATTCTATTACAGTTCAGCTACCACAGGATGCCGGTTTTCAAACAAACTTCTTTTCGGCTGCATGCGGGAAGTACACTCTACAAAAAATGACTGCTTAATTAGCACGCATCTTTCTTTTGTTTTTCGATGCCCTTGAAAGTTTAATTCTATTTCATGGTAAACATGCATTAAAATATTCATTTTTCTACTTATTCGGTCGGAAATCACGTCTTCTTTCAATTTTATGCGCAAAGAAATGGTTTAATCCGGTTTTAAAAAAGTTTGTAATTGCGAGATTTTTTAATACCGTGAAATGGCCGTTCATAAAACGTCATGTCTCTACATTTACTAATGTGGCTTGTAAAGTTACTAATATGGATCAAATCCACTGCTACATGTTATGAACCCTATAGGGCTCTCCTTTATTACCATAGAGAAATGCGTGGTTTTCCGTACGCGGAAAATATACGGCTTGTATTTTTGAAACCCTGAATCCAAGTGTAGCGGCAGGTGGAGTTCAAAATTATTCGGGAATTGAAAAGAGTTTTCTGAAACCGAATTAAACCATTTCTTTGCGCATAAAATTGAAAGAAGACGTGTTTTCCGACCGAATGAGTAGAATAGTGAATATTTTAATGCGTTTTCCATGAAATAGAATTAAACTTCTAAGGGCATCGAAAATCAAAGAGAAAGATGCATGTTATTTAAGCAGTCATTTTTTGCAGAGTGTAGTTCCCGCATGTAGCCGAAAAGAAGTTTGTTTGAAAGCCGGCATCCTGTGGTAGCTGAAATGTAATAGAATTATGCTGCACGGTGATTGGTTTTACAACCCTGCTTAATTAATCTTTTCCAAACGAAAACACATTTCGGAATTTCGGTTGACATTTCACGAGTTAGCTCACCTGCTGTGCCCTCGCCGCACCCGCCTCAGCTGCCCTCATTGCTCCTGGATATCCAACCACCGCATGGGCGAACTAGGTCACATGCGCATCTGTGAAAACCTGCTGTAGACAACCGCCGGCTATACCACACTACCACACTCTCCCGCCAACACCTGCACCACACAACGTAAGGCACTCAACTGACACCTCTCTGGCAAGTGAGAAGTGTGCGTCTCGGCCTCTTCTGCATGTGGCTCCTCTGCCGAATATGAAGTCCAAATCTGAGATTATCACGTTGCGCCTCAACTCAGTCAGCCAAATTGTGTGCGTTTGCATGTAGAGTGGCGGGCTGATGAGGTGAGATTCAGGCAGCCACGGTTCATTCTTAACTCGACCTCTGGCACTCCCACACTTGTGCGGAATAGGTGTGTGTGTATGGTTAGTGCCTCCTAGTCAATGATTGGTTGATTATTCAGCCTTTGAATTTTGATGGCCCAGGCAAATGCAGGGTGCGTTTCGCCCTTCCGGCTTTAAGGACTGTATGCGGTTGCTATGCCGTGATTCAGCAAAGCATGGCACTCATAGCCCAGAGTGCGCTGGTACTTGTCTGGCTCATATATACGCTTTCGCACCCGCTGTATAGATAGGTCCTGTTCATAGTGACTTATTTCACCCGTCTCTTTCTGGCTCATTGTCGTTTCAAAAGACGAAGGTGTGATCATTGGATCAAGAAATTTATGGGCCTGACGTCTCGGGTTCTCACTCGAATCCGACATCAGAGACAGTCTCAGATAAGGATAATGGTGGCGCAAGGAGTGCAGTGTTTATAGCACGTGGCTGCCGTGGGACCATATGCGCACTGTAATTAACAGCTCTCGCAATCACAGCTTGGGTCATAATTGATGCGGTGGTGGCTTGTCAGCCCGCGTCCGAGTAGTTAATGGCCGCGATTTCGTCATCCGTGCTGGATGCTGGTGTGACGATCGCTCGACCCACTGTCGCGGTAGAAAACGTCTGGAATCGTTTATCGGATCTGGTGTAGTTGCGGACAAAGCAACTACGTCGCAGAAACTGGGAGATTACTCCGTACGCGAATTGCCGAGCACGCAGCAGCGGTGAGGCGGGGAGACGCTAGCTCTCAGGTGGCGGCACACTCGACGGGACCCGGTCATAATTTCAAATTTCAAGAGGCCGAAATCCTCGCAAGGGGTGACAACCGCGTGAGCCGCGAGCTGCTCGAGTCATGGTTCTCAGGCCCGCAATCCATCAACAAACACAATGACCTCCCGGTGGCCTATTCCGTTTTGCGATTTTCCCTGGGCAGGAGAATCAGTCACGTGGGGAGGGCGCGGGTGAGCAATTATCACGGTGACAGTGAGCCAGTTTGCCGAGCAATCGTCACACCAGCATCGAGCACGGATGACGAAATCGCGGCCATTAACTACTCGGACGCGGACTGAAAAGCCACCACCGCATCAATTATGACCCCAGATGTGATTGCGGGAGCTGTTAATTACAGTGCGCATATGGTCGCACGGCAGCCACGTGCTATAAATACTGCACTCCTTGCGCCACCATTACCCTTATCTGCGACTGTCTCTGATGTTGGATTCGAGTGAGAATACGAAACGTCAGGCCAATAAATTTCTTGATCCAGTGATCACATCTTCGTCTTCTGAACTACTACCTGGAACTCGCCTGTTCGCTTCTATCACTGTTATTTGCTGGTAGAATCCTAGCCAATTGTTTGTTGTGGACTAGAGTGTGTGGTAGTACGCCTAGGTGCGGTCCTTGTCTGCGTGTCCTCTCCCGCCTCCAGCCTTCCCGAATGTGTCTTTACACCGGGTCCAGGTGTGGAGGAGAGAGTGCGGTAGATGCATCGCAAGTCTATTACCACTATAAACTAATTCACACACAAGTCACCGTCTCTGCACCACCTTTCTCTGGGGCACATGGTGGGCATTGTCGACAACGACGGTCGAATTGTCGTTTCATGTATCTATGTATGTTTACCCCCCAAATGAACCACGTGGTAGATGCGCTTGTCCAACACGGGGACCATATCGGATCCCGGTAGTCGTTATCGAAATGTGCACCATAACAAACGGCAACATCTGGGGATGCGATGGCAGACCCTGTTGGCGGCAGACGTCGCGCACACCGAGAATCCTCCCGTCCTCCCGCATTGTTGTAATTGGTCGAAATCCTGGTCATTGCTGTGTGAACCAGGGGGTATGGAGTGGAGCGCCAAGGTGCGGGCTCGATCGTGCCATCCATCTGCGCTCCCTCCCGCCTCCGGTCTTCTGGACTCTGCCTTCACACTGGATCCAGGTGGGGCAGGAGGAGCGAGTGTAATAGATGCAGTGCAGGTCTTCTTCTTCTTCTATTTATATAAAAAATGTAACCGTTCGTTTGTGTGTTGTCGGTAATCTCTGAAAGTACTACACCGATAACACTGCAATTTTGAAACAACCTTGCTTCCGCATAGAGCCGGCTTTTTTTCTGCCTACCTTCATAATTATGCGATGGCACGCCTGTGACGGGTAAAAAAGATGTTTTCTTCTTGTATAACAACGCCATCTGCTGACGCGCTGGCCTGCGGCCAAATGGCTGGCATTCACTCGGACACACGTACGTCCCCGAGCCACTTTGTTCGGCATCCGCCCAAACACACATGCGCCCAGAAGGCCGCGATCACGCCCCTACAGATACTTAAACATGCTCTCCCCTCTTGGGCCGATGCAATACGGGCCGCTAGGCAAACCACCCTTGGGTCAAAAAACTCGTAACTCTTGGGCTCTACTTAAACTTGCCCCACAACCCACATAATGGGGCTGTCATCGCTTCCTCTGGGATTCTCGGGGATGATGACTGGATGCAGTTAACACCAACCCCTCCCCGAGCCCCCACCTCGGCCAGTGGATCTCACATGGCTAAAGATATCTTCCGTCGACTACGCAAGGAAAATTCGAATGTGGATTTCATAGCAGACATCTACAACGAGGCGTTAATAATGATTGAGGACGTGTGCGTAGAAATCACGAACAAAGTTCTCAATCGGCTGGGGAAGCCATCACTAGACCGATCTGCTGTTGCTTCCTTAGATGTGGATATGCGCCGTGGGCAAAATACCGCACGGTTGGCCTTCTGTCGTATCTGCAATCAAGCATTCCTAAGCTAACACTGTAGCCGAATGGCATTTAGGATCAAATAATGCGAACTTTCAATAGGGAGGTTGGAGGAATCTTCTTGGATGTACCACAAAGGGACTGGCAAAACGTTCCTAATAAGGCTGATTGTGGCAGCAACTCGATCCAAAAATGACATAGCTTTAACTCTTGTGCCGTCCGGAATAGCTGCGACCTTACTACCTGGCGGGAGAACGGCTCATTCCGCTTTGAAATGGCCGTTGCACGGGCAGTTTATCGAAACTCCCGTCTGCAACATTTCCGAGGCATCCGGTATGGGAAAAGTACTGTATAAATACAAAATTACTGTACTGGGATGAATGTACAATGGCGCACAAAAAAGCGCTCAAGGCCGTCGGTCGAACACTGCAAGATTTGCCGATACAAGCGAAAATGCGAGTTCCAGGAACTAGCTGATCAGAAGAAGAAGAAGCGATCGCTGGAACAATGGCTTTATTTGCCTGACGTTTCGGATTCTCTTTTGAATCCGTCTCAGGTCGCGGCCCATTTGACGAGACCCGGCCACACATTCAAGTTCGATGAGGCCGAAATTCTCGCGAGAGGGGATAATCGCGTGAGCCGCGAGTTGCTTGAGTCATGGTTTACGGGACCTCAGTCTACCAACAAGTGCAACGACATCCCCACTTCATATTCCGTGCTGAGGCATAGGCTGGCCTAAGTAATTGACCACTCGGGGCGCGCAAGCCGATGAGCCAGATGGCCGAGCAATCATCACGCCAGCATCCAACACGGGTGATGAGATGTCAGCAATTAACAACTTGCATGCCGGCCATCAAGCAATTAGCGCACCAGCGGGCAACAATCCTTGATGAAGTGAGCACGGTTAATTGCTGTAGGTATGCGGTAGCATGGCGACCGCATCCTATAAATACTGCGGCTTCCTGTACACTAGCCCCCCTTTTCTGCAACTGTCTCTGATGATGGATTCAAGAGAGAATCCGAAACGTCAGGCGAATAAAGCCATTGTTCCAGCGATCGCTTCTTCTTCTGATCAACTGCAAGATTTGCGTGGAAACAGCAGAACATTTGGAGACGCATTGCTACTGCTCGCAGGAGACTTCAGGCAAACATTGCCTGTAATTCCTCGACCGACACCAACAGACGAAATAAGTACCTGCCTGAAACCCTCTGCTTTGTGGCACCACGTCCAGACGTTAAAATTAACTACAGATATGCGTGTCCAGCTGCAAAACGACCAATCGGCTGAAATACTCTCACGCCAACTGCTGGCAATTGGGAATGAAACGGTGTCGGTTGATCCGACTTCAAGAAGCACTTCAATACCTCTTACCTTCGGCATTTTAGTGTCGTCAAAATAAGAATTGGTTGAAAAGGTATTTCCCAGTATTCAAACCAAATATACGAATCACGATTGGCTGAGCGAACGGGCTATTCTTGCTGCCAAGAAAAAAGATTTCTACTAACTTAGCCATTTAATTTAGTCTAGGATTCAAAGCGAGGCAATCACATACACGTCCGTTGACACTGCCGTGGAAGCAGACGAGGCGGTTTATTATCCCACAGAAATTTTGAATTTACTTGATCTGCTAGGGACACCGCCGCACGTACTGCAATTGAAAATTGGCGTGCCGACTATCATGCTATGAAATATCAACCAGCCGAAGCTTTCCAACGGTACGCGGCTTGCAGTAAAAAAATCAATGCAGCGACATCGTGGAAGCAACTGTCTTGATAGGATCTTTCAAAGGTGAACATGTCTTTATTCCTCGCATTCCCCTAATTCCAACTGATATGCCATTTCAATTTAGGCGATTTCATTTCCCGATTTGATTGGCGTTTGCAATCACCATCAACATGGCTCAGGACTAATCTTCAGAATTGGGTGATTTGGATATGCAAACGGACTGTACCTCACATGGCCAGTTATATACTGCGTGCTCCAGAGTCGGCAAACCAGACAATCTCCATATCTGCACAGACAGCGCAACGACAAAAATATTGTATACCCACAAGCATTTCCATTTCATCAGACTGAGTCTCGCAGCGCGTGGCCGGGTCCAGCTAGTTTACTATAAACTAAATTCAAAAGGCAATTTGGCGAGTATACGTCTGATTTCGATAAATTCTCTTCAGGCCTGCACATTCATATGGCTATTGAGGTAATGAATTAAGAGATACGGGCAAGTAGGTAATCAAGCTGTAGCTCGGTTTGGTGGGCTGTATCACAGGCTTTTCCAACAGCTGCCACCCGTATACTGTTATCCACCAGTCCAATCCTATACGGAGTGGGCAAGGACACACTACCAGCTCAGACCACCTCTATGTGTATTTACTCCTTCACCTGCTCCTGTGGGCAGAATATATTGATCGCACGAGCCGACGTTTATCCAAAAGAATAAACGCACATTTACCAGCATGGTTAGGAAAGGGTCAAATAAAGAACATCAACAGCTCTATCCTCGCGCACATGGTAGACACAGACGACCGTGTAGACGCCAGAGGGGCCTTCAGAGTGATTCACAAGGTCTCATGAAGCTATCCAAAACTACTTGGAGAGCGCTTATTGGCTACGGCAGAGGCAGCTACAATCAGGCTACGCGGACCGGTCCTATGCGCACAGAAGAAGGCTAGATCGCAGTTGGTAGCCCGGAATGGGAAACGGACGGCGACCTGAACCCTAATCCCAACCTTAACCCTGACCCTAACCTCAACCGTTACCGTTAACCGTTAACCCTAATGGCAACCCTACCCCTAGCCGAAATCGTAAACGTAACCGTAGTCCTTAGACACAGCCGTAACTGAGACGCCTAACCGTAATACTGGAACCTATTCGTACGCTCAAACCCTAAACATAACCCCAAAACCGAAGCTTAAAGGCATAACCCTAACCGGAAAATCGGAAACCATTAACTGGTACCCTAATCCTAACCTCAAACGTAAAACGGAAGCCAAATGGATCAGATGTGATTATGTACCCCCACAAAATAACCCCAGTAAACAAACCCCACAGCCACCTGTAATGCGGGTCCGGGCTACCAACTGCGATCTGACTCAGAAGAACTTCATATAGGTCCCACAGTTGCCATGACTTAAAGCCACCAAGTTAGCACGCCGCATATAATTACCCTCGCCGGGACCTACCTCCTTTCTCGGGCTGTTTGAAATCGTGGTGTTTCACTCTCCCCCTCCCCTTCCCAAACCCGAGCTAGAGCTTGAGTATCTACTTGCCCGTATCTCTTAATTAATTACTTCAATAGCCATATAAATGTACAGGCCTGAAGAGAATTTATCGAATCCAGACGTATACTCGCCAAAATTGCCTTTCGAATTTTACAATGGGAATTTCGCAACTATAAACTAAATCACGCACAAGTCACCGTCCCTGCTCTCAGCTTGATGTCCGTTGTGGACGAGGGGATGTTGAAGTACACCTCGGCGTGGGTTGCGCCACCCCAGCCATCTTCGCCCCACCCCCCACCGCAGCCCCTTGTGCAACAACCACCCGTTTCTGCTCTTTTGTCTCTGATGATGGATTCGAGTAGGAATCCGAAACGTCAGGCTAATAAAACTCTTGTCCCGGCGATCGTGTCTCCTTCTTCAAGACTACTTCCTGGGACTCGGCTCTTCGCTTCTATTGGCAATGTATTTGGGCGCGATGCGCTCCGATCGGCCCGGCGATGGCAAACCTTCGCCCTTCGGGAGGCCTCTACGTATTCGCAGATCCGGTTTCTGCACAGGTGTCTCGACAATAACGTGTTACCGAAATGTGTTTCATACAAGCCACCGGTTAACACGGATTTGGTGAGTTGAGCAGTATTTCAGCACGGCAGAAGGATGATCCGAGTGCTCCTCCAAGATTGCCACGCGAGACTTCGTAAGTACCGTCAAAGGATTGACCAAGAAAAGACCAGATGCTGTGAGTTCATGGGTGAAATCGGTACGAATCTGCTCCGGCGGAGGATAGCTGAACAAGCCCGCGAACAGAGCACGATACGCGACGCATCACTGGAGAACAA